GAGTCCATTTCCCTTGTCAGACTTCATCGTCCCAGATGAGATTCGCCTGTGGATGGAAAATGATACCAAAACGAAATCCCTCATCATTCAGGGAACAGGAGGTCTGGGAAAGACCCAGCTGGCCAAAGCGATTTTGGCATCATTGGGCAAGTATTTCTTCGTGGATGCAATGGACACCATCAAGCATCTATTTTTTGTTGATGGTGAAGCCTTGCTTTGCGACGATGTGTCCCTTGGTGACTATCAGATTGACCAAGTCAAGTCGATTTTGGACATTTCGTGTGACAGAGCCATAAGATGCAGGCATGAGGATGGAATAGTGCCAGCAGGAACTACCCGAATCTTTTTGACGAACCATGAGAAGCACGTATTTTTTCCTCCTGGCTTTCAGTTGCAGCAGCATCAAAATGCCATCGAAAGACGCATGACGTGGGTCGAGGTCAAAGAAGTCCTCTTCAAGACGAAGGAGATGTCAGTGCTTGAAGCTGCGAAAAGGCAGTCAGCCCAGTCTGAGATCTCCAAACCAGCAGCTCAGGGAGTGAGAGATCAGCGAGCTGGCTCAGCCAAGTCTGAGATCCCCCAAGTGAGAGAGATCAGCAAGCTGGCTCAGCTAAGTCTGAGATCCCCAAAGTGGCAGCTGCTGAAGTGAGAGATCAGCAAGCAGACTCTGGATCGCAACACAAGGCCTCTCAACCAAGCCCCACAGAATTTTACGAAGAAGCCTTTCTTCCAGAGGACGAGGATTTTGAGGCAGATATTGATGCAGCGCGTGGTCTTTGGGATTGCTCTGACAATGATGACCATGGTGGGCCAGGGCATGCGGCCCAGCAAGTCCCTGCTGTTCCAGAGGAGATGAAGTCTCATGATGCTGCTCCAAGTCGGAGATCAGCTGTGTCTGAGATCAGCCAGCCAAGTCTGAGATCAGCGGAGTCTGATGCAGAACCTGCCCAACATGATGCGCAGCTGGAGCAAGCTGTTCCGGAGGAGATGATGTCTCAGGATACTGCTCCAGATGCAGGTACTGCCCAACTTGATGCACACCTTGAGCAAGCTCT